TTTTTTTCCAGAAATTTTTTGATTTCTCTTGATTTCTTCTATGACTCACTGTTCATTCAGGAGCATGTTGCTCAATCTCCATGTGTTTACGTATATTCTAGAGATTCCTGTGTTGTTGATTTCTAGTTTCATTTCATTGTGGTCCAAGAAGGTGCATGGAATGCTTTCATTTTTTTTTTTTTTAAATTTGCTGAGACTTGCTTTGTGGCCTAGCAAAGGGTCTATACTAGAGAATGTTCCACGTACCGATGAGAAGAATGTGTATTCTGCTTCTGTGGGGTAAAAGGTTCTGTAGATATCCATTAGGTCCACTTGTTCTATAGTATTGATTAGCTCTGTTGTTTCTTGGTTGCTTTTCTGTCTGGTTGATTTGTCCATTGATGAGAGTGGAGTATTGAGGTATCCTGTTACTATTGTATTAGAGATTATATCTCTCTTTAGGTCTGTTAATATTTTTTTTTATGTAGCCAGGCACAATGTAAAGGGTGCATATATGTTTATTATAGTCACATCTTCCTGTTGGGTTGATCCCTTAATCATTTCATAGTGCTCTTATTTGTCTCTTTAAACAGTTGCTATGTTAAAGTTTATTTTGTCTGAAATTAGGGTGGCAACACCAGGTCTTTTTTTGGTTACTGTTAGCATGGATTATCTTTTTCCAACCTTTCACTTTCAGTCTGTGTGTATCTTTGTTGGTGAGATGTGTTTCTTGTAAGAAGTAAATAGGTCTTGTTTTTCAATCTATTCAGCCAGTCTGTATCTTCTAACTGGAGAATTATATCCACTTACATTCAAGGTGACTACTAATAAGTAAGGACCTGACCCTGCCATTTTTCTGTAAATATTCTTATTGTTTACTTTCGGATTTATTTTGTATTTCTATTGGTGGTTTTTCTGCCTTCCCATTCTTTCATAATGATGGCTATCTTTCTGTGTTTCTGTGTGTAGCACATCTTCTGCAAGGTTGGATGAGTGTCAACAAATTCTTTCAATTTTTGTTTGTCATGGAAGGTCTTTATTTAGCTTTCATTCATAAATGCAAGATTGGTGGGTACAATATTCTGTGTTGACAGTTTTTTTCTTTTGAGACTTGTACTATATCTCACCATTCCCTTCTGGCCTGTAGGGCTTCTGATGAGAAGTCAGCTGCGAGTCTAATTGGCATTCCTTTGAAAGTGATCTGTCATTTCTCTCATGCTTATTTTAGAATCTTTTCTTTATATTTTACTGTAGAATCTTTCCTACAAATTGTCATGGTGAGGGTCTTTTCTGGTCATGTGTGCTTCGTCTGAACATCCCTTCCTTTCTCCAAATTGGGAAAATTTCCTGTAATTATTTCACTAAGTAGGCTTTCCATTTCCTTCCATTTCCTTCTTTTTTTCCACTCCTTCAGGAACTCCTAAGACCCATATTTTGGGTCATTTGATAATATCACATAGGTCTCCAACACTGTTTTTAAGCTTTCTATTTTCTTGTTTTTTTTTGTTTTTTTTTTGTTTTTTTTTGTCTGTCAAGATTTCCAAGGATTTGTCTTCTAGTTTGGATATTCTTTCTTCTGCCTGATCAAGTCTGCTCATAAGAATTTCCATTGCATTTTTTAAAATTTATTTATTTGACAGCTAGACAGTGAGAGAGAGACAGAGAGAAAGGTCTTCCTTCCATTGGTTCATTCCCCAAATGGCCGCTACGGCTGGAGCTACGCTGATCTGAAGCCAGGAGCCAGCTGCTTCCTCCTAGTTGCCCACGCTGGTGCAGGAGTCCAAGCACCTGGGCCATCCTCCACTGCCCTCCTGGGTCACAGCAGAGAGCTGGACTGGAAGAGGAGCAACCGGGACTAGAACCCGGCACCCATATGGGTTGCTGGAGCCGCAGGTGGAGGATTAACCAAGTGAGCCAAGGCACCGGTCCCTTCATTGCATTTTTTTATTTGATCCATTGAAGTCTTCATTTCTAAAATTTCATTTTGATTTGTCTTTATATCCTCAATTTCCTGGGAAATATTTTCACTCATGTCATGTATGGTTTTCTGTGGATCATGGATTTGCTTCTGATTTTTTTTAAGTCATCCTATGATTAATTTTCTGAATTCTATTTCTGGCATTTCCTTGATCTTGTCATCTTTGAATTCGAATATTGAGATGTCGTTGTGTTCCTCTGTGGGTCATGGTGGCTTCCTTATTTTTATTTCTTGAGTTTCGACTCTTGATTTTCGTCATTTGTGGGTTTGATTATTAAATTTTTTTCTTCTGTTGGTTTTTATCTTTGGGATTATGCTTCTGTGATTTCGTGGAGTGTCTGCCCTTTCTGCGAATACATCTGGGCAGTGATGGCTGAGGACTCTTTCCTCTGTTGGAAGCCCTGGACCACTACACAGTCTCTCGGCCAAAGCCTGTTGGTAGCATCTGGCAGTCTGTCTCAGTGATCTGTTACGTATGCACATTGATTTAAAATGGCACCCACCCCCTCTCCCAGGGGTCTTGTTTTGGAGAGACTTGTTTGAATCAGTTGTCCCCCCCCCTTCACTTTCTTTTTTTTTTTTTTTTTTTTTTTGACAGGCAGAGTGGACAGTGAGAGAGAGACAGAGAGAGAAATGTCTTCCTTTGCCGTTGGTTCACCCTCCAATGGCCGCCGCTGCAGCCGGCGCACCGCGCTGATCTTGGCAGGAGCCAGGAGCCAGGTGCTTTTCCTGGTCTCCCATGGGGTGCAGGGCCCAAGCACCTGGGCCATCCTCCACTGCACTCCCTGGCCATAGCAGAGAGCTGGCCTGGAAGAGGGGCAACCGGGACAGAATCCGGCGCCCCAACCGGGACTAGAACCCGGTGTGCCGGCGCCGCTAGGTGGAGGATTAGCCTATTGAGCCACGGCGCCGGCTCCCCCTTCACTTTCATTAGGACCGCAGGGGATCGCTGGCAACTGCAGGCCGCAGTCAGTACCCGGGCCAAGCTCTATCTGGCTTTGTCCCCACGGAATGGTGCAGACGGACCTCCCTCAGGCCTCTCAACAATGCTGCCGGCTCAGGCTGTCTGTGGTTGCGGCTCTCTGTGTGCATACCAGCACCCACCATGCAGTTTCAAGCTGTTTCCCCTCCTCCCAGGGGGCTCCCAGAAGGGTTTCCTCTTCTCCCTGGAGCGTGCACTTCCTACCCTATTCTATGCACTTTTTCTTCCTAGCCCTGCGTAGCATGCTGCTCCCTCTATTTTTCCATTTCTTGACATATTTTATAATTTTCTGTTGAAAGCTGCACATTAAAACACTATAGTGTGACCACACTGGAAATCACTGCCCTTTAGGTGTTGGTTTATGTTGTTTTGTTATTCCGTTTATTTAGTGGTTTTCTTTAACTAATTGTGTATTATATTCATATTTGTCACATGTGGCCATTAAATTATCTGTTCTATCAACTTAGAAGCAGCCAATAATTGGACACTGATTTTCTGAATTGCCTTAAACCAGTAAGTTTCTCCATCTTGCTGAGTGTGTGTGTGTGTGTGTGTGTGTTGGAGCAAGATTTTTAAAGCTCTGGGAGACAATTTGCAGCTCGTCCTTAGCTATCACTTTCTGTTCAGAGATACCCTTAGGTCAATCAGAGGTGGAAGATTAGGGCATTCTCAATTCTCCTTGTGGGATGTACACACACCACCATGCACTGGTGTCCTTCAATATTTCCAGATACTGCTATCGTTTTGAAGTCTTTTGTGGAATCTTACTCCTGTGTTTTTACTGGTCGACCCTTAGTTTACCATGATGGTTTTTCCTGTTTCAGATGGCTGGGATCCTCCCTGCTTGTTCTGCCAAACATCCTTGGGGAAAAACTCTTCCCAGTGATTGAGTGCTGAGTGAAATCAAGTCAAAAAGACGGTAGGGGGAAAAGTTGCCATGGTTTGGGTATGGTTTGAGTGTGGTTCCCAAAGATTCATGTGCTGGAAGATTAGTGCCCAAGGTGGCAGTGTTGCGGTGGTGGAATTTTTAAGAGGTGGGACCTAGTGGAAGATATTAGGTCATGGGAGTGCTGCCCTCAGAGAGGGTCTTGCAGAGTGAGTTAACTCTTAGGAGAGCAGGTTGTTTTAAAGTGAGGCCTCTCCCTTGCTCCCTGCCCCCTTCTGCAAGAAGCCAGTGCTTGTGCTTCTGCAGTATGTGGTGACGTAACCAGAGGGCTCTTACCAGAGGCTGAACAGATGGGGCTGCTCTCTCTTGCACTTCAGCCTCAAAAACTGTGAGCTAAATAAGCCTATTTTCTTCATAAAGTACCCAGCATCAGGTATTTTGTTATAGCAACAAGAATAGAATACAAGTCAGCATCCTGACAATATTCAATTCTCTGAGGATGTATTTTTCTTAGAACTCCACTCTCATTTTTTCCCTTCCATGGCAGCCAGACTGGTAGTTTTCAAATGCATTATGGTTGTATGATTGTTAACTTTAAAGGTTACTGTGGAGATGGGGTGAGGGAGATGAGAATAGGGCAAGTTACAGCACCACAACGCTCTTTGTTGTGCACAAATTCAGCTATTTGAATTCTTGCAAGTTTTTTTAAATACTAATTTCCAGAGTCTGAAAAAATTGATTTTGCCTTTTTGCCCATGTTTTTATTGTTTTTGTGGAAGAATAGATTTTTGGAGATTCTTACATTTCTCTGTGTCTTCTAAAATATTTTCTGAAGGCATTTAAATACCTCAGATTTTGAAAACATTTCAACACTAAATTTTAATTTTATAGTCTACAGCATTTAGCGCCCTTTTATCAATAGTGTGAACCCTTAAACCTCTATTAATCTTCTAAGATCTAAAGTCCAAAAGACAAACTTCTCCCACATAGTTTTGTCATGACAAGTTATTTGACTTAAATTTCATATAGGATGGAACAGGAGATATTTCAGCATGTTTCCAGGTGTTCTTGACCTTACTCTAGAAGCAACAATTCTGCCCCTCAATTCTAGCTAACCTTTAGTCCCTCAAAGAGAGTTTCATCTTGATTTTACAGCCAGAAGTAAAATTACTCACTTTCTTGATTGTAATCTTCTTGTTTAAGTGATGATTTAAACCAACCGACAAGTATGATTGTAAGCATCAACTCTACAATGGTGCTCAAGAGTGTGAAATGTAGAAGCAACATGCCAGACAGCTGAATGGAATGGAAAAATAAGGATTCCTCATATTAATTAGCCACTTAAAGATCAGACAAGAACAGAAAATAGGGAATAAATATCATTCACCCTATCAGTGTCCTTTGGCTGCTTTTAATAACAGCTAATCAATTTGTAAATTATTTAGAACAGGGGGTGGTGTTGTGGCTTAGTAGCTTAAGTCTCCACCTGTGACGCAGGCATCCCAAAGGGGTGCCGGTTTGAGAACCAACTGCTCCATTTCCGATCCAGCCCCCTGCTAATGAGCCTGGGTAAAGCAGAGGAGGATGGCCCAGGTTCTTCGGTTCCTGCACAAACATGGGAGACCTGGAAAAAGTGCCAAGTATTATGTTAAACAACAATTTCATGAATTAAGTATTTTTACCTCTTTTTACACATGATGATAATGAAAAGTAAAGAGAGAACTTGAAGCCCTTGGTCCAGTGGGGTCCTTCAGGATCAGGTATTGCATGCCCTTCTGTTTCTCTCTCTCTCTCTCTCTCTCTCTCTCTCTCTCTCTCTCTCAAGATTTTCTTTTTTATTTGAAAGGCATAGTTACAGAGATGCAGAGGCAGACAGACACGGAGAGAAGTCTTCCATCTGCTGGATCGCTCCCCAAATGGCCGCAACAGTTGGGGCTGGGCCAGGCTGGAGCCAGGAGCCAGGGGCTTCTTCTGGGTCTCCCACTTTCTGCTGCTTTCCTAGACACATTAGCAGGGAGCTGGATCGGAAGTGTAGCAGTTGGTTTTCCAACAGGCACCCATATGGGATGCCAGCTACGCCACAGCACTGGACCCTGTATTCTCTCTTTTGACTTCACAATCTCTGCTCTATGATAGTTCATTTGGCACACATATAATTTTACGTTCTATTTTCTTTTATGTCTGTAAGTGTTGTTCCATGAATTATGTGGAACATGTTATTTCCGTATTCTTATTGTGGCCCAAAATATTTACTCTCTCTTAGAAATATGTGGAAATGGCTCCTGGTATTTCTCAATGCTCTTCCCTTAACATTCATATGTGAAGAGCAGGCACTTATTTAATTGGTGGTTTTCAGGGGAGAAATCCATTTCCTTCCGGGTTATTCCCCCCCGCCCCGAATGGATTGTGTTTATAACCACAAATTCTTTCCAACATCTAACCATTGTGTGGGTCCCTTATGAAGGTTTATGATCTGTGTCCGTGTGTAATCACGCAGATGAGTTTACTTCATGTAGGAAGGTATTAGCAAGTTTATGTGGCCAAAGGTTTAAAACCTGTTATCAAAAATATAATAACCAATAAAGCTGATTGCTCTGTCTACATTTGCTTGATTCCTGTGTCTTTTTTCACCGGTTTTAGAATACAACAATAGCAATGGATAGTTATTTACTGGTATTTGCTTCTAGGGCTTTTGCAATAAAGTGTTCTGGGCCAAATGGCTCAACACAATGGAAATCTATCATCTCAGAGTTTTGGAGGCTAAAACTCCAAAATCAATATATTGACAGGGGCATGCTCCTTCTGAAGCCTCAAGGGGGAGACTCTCCCTTGCTTTTTCAGATGGTAGCCACAGATATTTTTTGGCTTATAGCTGCATAATTCTTATCTCTGCTCTGTGTTCACCTGGCCATCTTCCTTATGTGCCTGTGTCTCATTTTCCCTCTTCTGATAAAAACATCAGTAATACTGGATTAATGGCCCACTCCTCCATTATGACCTCATTTTAGCTAATTACATACATGGTGTCCCAGTTCCCCCAAAATGTCACATTCTGAAGTGCTGTGGTTTAGGACTTCTACATATTTTTGGGGGGACACTATTTAACCCATATTATGCCTTTAGTCTTCCCAAATTCATGTCTTTACCATGTACAAAATATAGTCAATTGATCTCAGTGTCTCCAGAATTTCAACCTTTTTCGTTATCAACTTTAAGTCTAAAACCTGTGTTCAACATTCCTTCAAATCATAAAACCCCAAGTCTCATCATTGTTATGGGTTATGGATGTGATTCATAGTATGGTTAATGCTGGGGTAAAAGTTCTCTCCACCTGTGGACTTGTGAAACCATTGCACAAGCTATCTGCTCTGGGTTACAATGGGAGGGCAGGTACAGCACACACATTCCCTCCTGAGAACAAAAGAGGGACAAAAGGGGTCATGACCCTAGGGAAGTCCAACATTCAACAGGGACAACTTCACTGTTTCATGGTCTGAGAATAATCCTCTATGGCTCTGTCCAGAGGCTACCCTGTTTCTTGGCTCCATCCTCCTGGTCCACTGTAACAGTGACGTCACCTTTTCAGTTTTCTTTGGGTCAATCTATACTATACAAAAAATATAAATCTTCATGATATGAAATATATTTATTTTTCCTGTTTATTCTTGTTCTCTCTTTTTTGTGCCACTAGTATATTAACTTCATCTTCATGCTAATTGTAATTGATTTTGTGGTTGTTGACTCAATATTTACACACATCATAGAAAGTAGGTGTCCAATATTATTTTCTTTGAAATGGATAACTCTTTGATTTAATACTATTTTTTAATTTTTTATTTAATAAATTAAATTTCCAAAGTACAGCTTTTGGATTATAGTGGCTTTTCCCCCGCATAACCACCATTCCACCCACAACCATCCCATCTCCCACTCCCTCTCCCATCCCATTCTTCATCAAGATTCATTTTCAATTATCTTTATATACGGAAGATCAATTTAGTATATACTAAGTAAAGATTTCAACGGTTTGCACCCACACAGAAACACAGAGTATAAAGTACTGTTTGAGTACTAGTAATACCGTTAATTCACATAGTACAACACATTAAGGACAGAGATCCTACATGGGGAGTAAGTGCACAGTGATTCCTGTTATTGATTTAACAATTGATGCTCTTATTTATGGCGTCAGGAATCACCCGAGACTCTTGTCAAGAGCTGCCAAGGCTATGGAAGCGTCTTGGGTTTGCCAACTCCAATCTTATTTAGACAAGGCCATAGTAAAACTGGAAGTTCTCTCCTCCCTTCAGAGAAAGATACCTCCTTCTTTGATGGCCCGTTCTTTCCACTTGGATCTCACTCACAGAGATCTTTCATTTAGGTCATATTTTTTTTTTTTTTTTGCCAGAGTGTCTTGGCTTTCCATGCCTGAAATGCTCTCATCAGCTTTTTAGCCAGATTCGAATGCCTTAAGGGCTGATTCTGAGACCAGAGTGCTGTTTAGGACATCTGCCATTCTGTGAGTCTGCTGTGTATCCCACTTCCCATGTTGGATCTTTTTCTCCTTTTTAATTCTATCAGTTAGTATTAGCAGACACTAGTCTTTCTTTTGTGATCCCTTTGACACTTAATCCTATCATTATGATCAATTATGAACTGAAACTGATAACTTTGACTAGTGAGATGTCATTGGTACATGCCACCTTGATGGGATAAAATTTCATTCTTTCCCTATGAATGGGTAAGGTCATCTACCACAAAATGTTTCCACTTCTACTTGGACTTATTTCTCAAACCTCCATTATGTGTTTTGATTGAGTTTTCTTTTAGTCTGTAAATACTACATCACTTTGATTATAATCACCTAATAAGTTTTGTTATCTAGTGCAGAAAGTTCTCTGGCCCTCTCCAATCTGACTTCTAGAATTTCTTGTAATTACTCACAGTTATTCTCCTATTCATGTGCATTTTAGAGTGATTTCACTGTATTACTTCTAAAATTTGTTAAGATTCTAGATATACTTGGCTAATACGTATTAATTTGCAGAAGCTTGCAATTTTATTATATTGTGAATTTGCATTCAAGAACATAAGTTTCAAGTATTTCATTTTTTTTTAAAAATTATTTATTTGAAAGTCAGAGTTACATATTAGAGAGAGAGAAAGAGAATCTTCTATCCAATGGTTCATTTCCCAGATAGCCACAATGGCTGGGACTGAGCCAGACCAAAGCAAAGGAGCCAGGGTAGCCATATGGGCAGGAGGGGCCCAAGTACTTCGGCTATCCCGACCATCCCCTTCTGCTCTTCCCAGACTATTAGCAGGGAGCTGGAGCAGAAGTGGAGTGACTGGGACACAAACTGGTGCCCACATGGGGGCCGGCATCACAGGTGTCAGTTTTATTTACTAGGCCACAAAGCTAGCTGCACAATTCTTTTTTATGCCCTTTATAAAACTTTCACAATTTTGCTGTTATTTTGATGAGGCTATTTTTTCCATTTTAATATTTAAGTGAATTTTGTAAGGAAAATTTATAAATTTTTGTTGGCTTTTCCTTTATCCAACATCTTACTAAACTGTTTTAATTGTCACAATATTATTTTTGATAAGTCTTTTTGTAGAATATTCTAAGTATTCCATCCCATCATCTCTTTTTGAGGTTCCTGCTGTTTTAACTTTTGAGTTTTTAAAATATGCTCATGGCAAATATTTGTAGGAAATATAGTTTATTTTTATATTTCTATGCCAAAGATGGCTGAAAGATTTGGTTGCCTTTTCTATACCTTACTCCCTTCAACATACTCACATGATTCACAATACTTTTTTCATTTATATACAAAAGTTTGATCCAGTTTTTTAATATAAAGCTTTTATTTAATAAATATAAATTTCATTAAGTACAACTTTTGGATTATAGTGGTTCTTTCCCCCATACCCATCCTCCCACCCCCAAACCATCTCACCTCCTACTCCCTCTCCCATCCCATTATTCATTAAGATTCATTTTTGATTATCTTTATATACAGAAGATCAACTCTATACTAAGATTTCAACCCTTTGCATCCACAAAGACACACAAAGTATAAAGTACTGTTTGAAGATTGGTTTTACCATTAATTCTCATAGTACAACACATTAAGGACAGAGATCCTAGATGGGGAGCAGGTGCACAGTGACTCCTGCTGTTGATTTAACAATTGACACTCTTATTTAAGACGTCATGATCCAGTTGTTTTTAAAGCTGATACTTACATTTGACCAAGAGTATTCATCTGAGTGATGTTCAAAAGCCACAAACTCAATGGCTAACATAATTAAACCAAACGTAGCCACACAGATACTTAGGACATTCATTACAATTGCTGTAATAACCTATAGTAGACATACAAAGAAAAACTGGTCATGCAGAGGATAAACAGATTTTTATAAAATATGTTTTATTTGAGAGAGAGAGGGAGAGAGAGAGAGATTCCATCTGTTAGTTCATTCCCAAAATGCCTATACTGGCCAGGAATGGGCCAGGCTGTCCTGGCCAAGGCCAGGAGGCAGCAATGCAATGCAGGTCTGTCTACCCATGGGTGGCAGGGACCAAACTATTTGATGCTCCCTCTCAGGGTCTGCATTAGTAGGAAACTGGAATCAAAAGCCAGAGCTAGGACCCAAATCCAGGTGCTCCAATATGAGAATTGGTGTCCTAGCTGGTGACTTATTCACCAGGCCAAAGGAGTGCTCCATAAACAGGTAAGCACATTCAGGTCACATTCAAGTTGAAGTGTTTTTTTTTTGTTTTTGTTTTTGTTTTTTTTTTTGCTTTTCAATCTGAATTTCTGGAATCTATGGTGGCTGATATTAGGACTCCATTCAAATTTGTCTGGAAACCAGTGGGATAATTCTTTTCCCCAGAAGAAGCATTTATTTATTCATTCAAGAGATAATTACACAGAGCATATAATGTAGTAGTCACTGTGCTAGGGATAAGATCAGGTTTATACTGAAGAAATTTATAATCTAATGGAATAGAAAAAAATTATAAACAGCTTGTTTAGTAAAATTTTTTTTGACAGGCAGAGTGGACAGTGAGAGAGAGAGACAGAGAGAAAGGTCTTCCTTTGCTGTTGGTTCACCCTCCAATGGCCGCCGTGGCCGGCGCGCTGATCCGATGGCAGGAGCCAGGTGCTTCTCCTGGTCTCCTATGGGGTGCAGGGCCCAAGCACTTGGACCATCATCCACTGCACTCCCTGGCCACAGCAGAGAGCTGGCCTGGAAGAGGGGCAACCGGGACAGAATCCGGCGCCCGGACCGGGACTAGAACCCGGTGTGCTGGCGCCGCAAGGCGGAGGATTAGCCTATTGAGCTGCGGTGCTGGCTCTGTTTAGTAAAATTTAATAAATGCCATGCTTTAGTAAGCTTCAAGTTTAGTATTTCTCAATGTTGTTCCTCTTTAATAATGCCATTTTCTACTTAACATCTTTGAATGGTCCCCAACTTCAACAATATTTTTTAAAAATATCATTCATGATTATATCAATAGACAAAAATATTTAGCAAAACTCCAACAATCTATCATCCTGAAAATATTCAACAACATAGGAATATATGGGATCTTCCTCAACCTGATTAAAGGGCATCTATGGAAACAGACTTATTGGTGAAAGACTTGGCGCTTGCCTCCCAAGATGAGAAACAAGTGAGGAGTATCTACTTATATTCAACACTGCATTAGAGGTTCTAGCTAGAGCAATTAGGTGATAAAAAGAAACAAAACACATTCAGATTGGTCAAAGAATTAGTAAAACTGCATGTATTCACAAAACTACTTGTTCTCTTATATAAAATATCCTAAGCAATTAACTAAAGACTATTAGAAATGATAAACAAGTTTAGCAAGATTACAAGGTAACAAGATCAATGTACAGAATCCAAATGTATTTCTACACACTTTTAATGAACTCTCTGAAAATAATATTAAGGTAAAAAAATAGAAAAATATTAGGAATGAGTTTAACAAAAGAAGTGCAAAATTTACTTTGAAAACTGAAAAACACTGTTGAACGTGGCAAACATCTGTGCTCACAGATGTAAAAGTTTAGTGTTGTTATGGATAAGACTGCACAAATTGATCTACAAATTCAACTCAATTCCTATCAAATATCAGCTGATTTTTCTCACAGAAATTGACAAAAAGATCATAAAACTTCTATGTTATTGCAAAGGACCCAGAATAGTGCCCCCTCAACCCTGCAAATGCTAAGAACAAAGTTGAAGTATTCATATGTCCTGATTTCAAACCCCACTGAAACACGAAGTATAAAGTACTGTTTGAAACTAGTTTTACTGTTAATTCTCATAGTAAAACACATTAAGGAGAGTGGCGCTACATGGGGAGCAAGTGCACAGTGACTCCTGTTGTTGATTTAACAACTGACACTCTTAATTATGACATTGTTAATCACCCAAGGCTCTTGTCATGAGCTGCCAAGGCTATGGAAGCCTCTTGAGTTCACAAACTCCGACATGAAATAATATTTCATTAGATCAGCCTGGCAAATGTTTTAAAGTCTCTTAAGTCTAAGTTGGACAAAGCAAATTCTCACACACAGCTGGTGGAAACATAATTTGGCACAACTACTTTGACATCTAATTAGGTTGGAAGAGCTCATACGAGTATGTGTTGCTCACCATCTTCTAACACCTACACACAAAAGATAAATTGGAGTACATCTTTATAAAAATGAAATGCTTTTTTTCTCATCCAAGTATTTGGAAAATTTTTTTGTTTCCCAAAAATTTGGCTGAGAAATAATTTATTTTCCATTTGGTCCAGGAAACATTTTTCTCTTTCAAGTTGCTCCAAATATTTGGACATACCTTACAGAGAGTATAAGGCCTCTGAATTACGCTGCTGGATCCTGAGGTAATGAACTGAGGATAGAAACAAGTATTTATAAACACTCATGACTTATGATAATATCTTCAGCAACTGCTCTTCCTAATGGCAGTGGCATTCCTGATATATAAAGTATCATTTACTTTTTGAAGTGAATTTAACAAGAAAAGTCCCATTTCAGTTTTGTGACAACCACTGGTATAATCTCTAAGATATGTTATCTCTAAGATAACATTTCTCTGTTACAGACAGATGAGAAGTTAAAGACTCTGGTCATTAAAAGGATGTTTGTGGAACTGAGGGATATCACAATGATATTATGAGGGACACTTCACTTAGTTTGTCATTTACTGAACCTGTGACTGAAATTACTAGAAAATAATCTTGAAGGGCTAGTGTGGTGGCCTATCACTTGCATAAATCCTTCTTCCCCATAATGTTATAGGAAAAGTATTTTATCACTAGAAAATAGTTTCAAGAATGCATTTGGCCTGATGATTTACAAGTTGTGTTCCACTAACATCATGTCCTAAGGGCTATCATTACTTGCTGGCACAAGTAGAAAAGATGATTATTTCTGGCATATGAAGAATTTAATTTTTCCCCAATAGTCTATCTTATATCTGCTTTGAATATATCTGAGAACTTGTAAAAGATGACTTGAATATACTAAGAAGGAGAATGTGCATCCTCCAGGAAAATGAGAACTGTTTTGGAAGCAGAAGCACCTTAGTTTGATTTTTCATGTCTGACGTCTTGTTGCTGTGTCTTGCTATCAGAGCTGTATTATCTAAGCCTAGGTTTCTTCATGCATAAATTGGAGATCAATAGCAGCTGTCTCCATAAGGTTGCTGTGGCAATGAGTCAAAAAACTCGAGGTATCTTTAGAGGGTGACTGACACACAATAGATAGTATTGAATAATTTTCTCCCTGACATAAGCTCCCTTTCTATCTACTGGGATTAGCATTCTTTCTGGAGACCTTGTAAATGGTGATTTTCATTGCATTACTTCAGTTGAAATAATTTCTTTTTATTAAATACATTCCTTATCCAGAAAGTTCTAAGTATTGGTAAACAACATCCATTTGAGGACTGCTGCCCCAGGAAAACCTCTGAGTAAATAATGTCTGTCATCCAGAACAGTGATACTAGGGCCTTTTCTGAGCGAACTGATTATACTTGCATGCCTAGAGGACTTTTTTTTAACTTTTATTTAACAAGTATAAATTTCCAAATTACAGCTTATGGATTACAGTGGCTCCCCCCCCCCATAACTTCCCTCCCACCCACAACCTTCCCATCTCCCGCTCCCTCTCCCATTCCATTCACAACAAGATTCATTTTCAATTATCTTTATATACAGAAGATCAATTTAGTATATATTATGTAAAGATTTCAACAGTTTGCACCCACACAGAAACACAAACTGTAAAGTACTGTTTGAGTACTAGTTATAGCATTACTTCACATTGGACAACACATTAAGGACAGAGATCTTATATGGGGAGTAAGTGCACAGTGGCTCCTGTTGTTGACTTAACAAATTGACACTCTTGTTTATGGCCTCAGTAATCACCCTAGGCTCTTGTCATGAGTTGCCAAGGCTATGGAAGCATTTTGAGTTTGACAACTCTGATCTTATTTAGACAAGGTCATAGTCAAAGTGGAAGTTCTCTCCTCCCTTCAGAGAAAGGTACCTCCTTCTTTGATGGCCCATTCTTTCCACTGGGATCTCACTCGCAGAGATCTTTCATTTAGGTCCTCTTTTTTTTTTTTGCCAGAGTTACTTGGCTTTCCATGCCTAAAATACTCTTATGGGCTCTTCAGCCAGACCTGAATGCCTTAAGGGCTGATTCTGAGGCCAGAGTGCTATTTAGGACATCTACCATTCTATGAGTCTGCTGTGTATCCTGCTTCCCATGTTGGATCGTTCTGCCTAGAGGACTTTTATAAAAGTACATGGGCACTTGAAGTCTTATCTTCAGTTGAGGGCAAAAGCATGAGTAAGGAGATAAAGGAACTCTTTTTCTTCTATGAGGAAATTTGATCTTAGGTAACTTTCTGCTTTTGTTTGGTTTGAAACTTGTTATAATGGGGCTAGGCAAGGTTGCTCATGAGTAACATGGTCCCTGGTTGATTGCCCCTGGGTGGAACTGTGAACTAAAGTAAATTATGGGTTACCATGGCTCTGGGCTCCTGAGATAACTGATATTGAGTTTATCCCTGGTGAAGACCTTGACAACTATGCTCACTGAATTGTAATAAATCCTTACTCAAAATAACCATTTTAAAAATCTTTGCTTAATTTCCCAAATAACCCATGGCTCTCAATATGTATCTCTTCTTTTATCTGTCCTTATATAACTTATAAAAATTGTAGCTATAGCCTCAGACATTAGGATTTTCACTCCAGAAAAGAAAAGCCTTATAGTCATACAAACAACCACTCTATTATTCTTCAAGCATACTTCTTCAATCTTTCCTGCATGTGTGTCACATCCTCTCAAAATCATATCAAAACATGCAACAAACATCATTTTCTAAGGTGGTCTCCACACTAAAATAAGCTTCTGTAAGTCAGAGCTTGAGTTCTTAGTCCATTGCTTGACCACCCAAGTAATTTGCCTGTTCATTAGAAAAAATAAAAATAAATCAATAATACCATGGTTTACTCACAAATAATGCTGACACAAATGAGTAACATATTAAAATCATCATAAGGGTACTACCGACACTAGTTGATGGCTCTTCTAGAGAATGCATAAAAATCCAGAGAACCCCAAATGCAAAGAGATACAGGGCAATCATTATTTGTGCAGCCTGTGAGAAGAGAAAATCAATATTAATACTCAAGTCAAATCTATCACAAATGGTTAGTGAGAAATCATGAGAATGAGTGATTATGAGAATGCCCGGTTTACCCTCGTATTTCTGAAGCAGTAAGAGTTGTATATTAGGGAGGGCCCAAGGTAAATAGAGAAATGGAAGCCTCAGTTGGGTGGCATATGTTTGTTTGTTTATTTTTTTAAAGATTTTTATTTATTTATTTGACAGATAGAGTTACAGACAGTGAAAGAGAGAGAGACAGAGAGAAAGGTCTTCCTTCCATTGGTTCACTCCCCAAATGGCCGCAATGGCTGGAGCTACGCCGATCTGAAGCCAGGAGGCAGGTGCTCTTCCCTGTCTCCCATCCGAGTGCAGGGCCCAAGCACTTGGGCCATCCTCCACTGCCTTCCCGGGCCACAGCAGAGAGCTGGACTTGAAGAGGAGCAACCGGGACTCGAACCCAGCGCCCATAAGGGATGCCGGTGCCGCAGGTGGAGGATTAACCTAGTGCGCCATTGCGCCGGCCCCTCCATATGTTTATTTAAACATAGAGTATTTGCTTTTGTTTCATTGAAACCTTTAAAAAGGATAATTGATATTTCATTTTCTAGTTGGTTTTATTTAATTACTAAGCAGAGCCCTATTTGTGTGGTTCAGGAGGATATTCAACTGAAAGGAAAGCTGGTGACTCAGGATTTTTAAGGCTCTGTCTTGATCTGCCCCCACACGTGCACCCCCCCCCCACCATGGTTGGTTTTCTGAGGCCAATGCTAGCCTGCATATTCAGATCTTGTTCTACATCACCAACCACAAGTAGGAACCTTAGACCTCACTTTACATCTGCCATCCTCTTTTGCTTAGGACTTGGACTTGAGTTTCCCTTTTACCCTCTCCACTCCCACACCCAGTGCTGACTTTTGAAACCACAGTTTGGAACAAGACCCTAGGCTATGATCAAAAAAGCATGAAGGAATGATTGGGTTCTGACCCTGGTTGTTAGGGGCCATGCTTAGAGTTGGGTCGTATTTTCTAGCTAGAGTAGAGTCTCATGCATGTACCAATGATGAGGGTACATGCAACCCACCAAAGGAGCTAGACTGGAAGACTCCAGTATCACTCTCCCTGCAACTACTTTATGCCCTGATGCCCATTCATTCTTTTATCCATTTAGTTAGTTTTAAATGGACTTATATGTTTTAAATCAGGTCACCTTAAACTTGAAGTGCATAGGGGACATCTAGGTTTCTGTTCTAGTGTTGAGATTTTGGGTTTTTATATTAGGGTTTTTCCACAGTAACAGAAAAATTAGCATATCCACTTGGTTATTAAAACTCCCCTCTGCTGAGTTTGCTCTCCAGTGGGCATAAGCCCAAGACACAAATATCTTCAGGTTTTTTTTTCCCTATTCAGAGACATATCCAGAATCCTCATCTCCAGACTTTCTGTTACCAGTGTCCCAATCATATTCCTTTCAAGCTCTTGACCATCCATCCACAATTGGCCACAGACATGAATTACTATATACAGTCTCATGTCTGGCCATTTCTCCTCCCTAGAAAAATCAACAACCAGGAGTGTTGCTTGAGGTTCTGCCCTCTGAGAAAACAGTCTTTCATCTCTGTCCTTCAGAGATGTCCCATAGAGGGGCTATTGTGCTGCACCTCGCCACTTTGGGGTAGTGCTTGGATATCATGCAGAATTGATATCTGGAAACAATGGTTGCGTTTTCTCATCCTCTGTCAGCTGACCACAGGGAATGCCCCACAAAGCATAGGTGCTTGGTGGGAGACAGAAAGCCGTGTAGCAGGAATAGCAACCATGGGCAGTTAAGTTAAGCTGCTTCCTCATGGAACTTGCTCAGGCATACGCCATGGTTTTTTTTTTTTTTTTTTTTTTTTTTTTTTTTTTTTTAATAATGAAACCTTGCTCTGCTAACCCAAATTTATGGCTTGGTAGGCCAATAACATTCAGTTCATAATGAGCAGCTCAGATTGCAAGGTAAATTGGAGGTTCATGGTGAAAAGATTCAATCTCTTCTAAATAAGGCCCAGTGGTAAGTCTTAGAGCTACCAAAGAGCTGGTTCTCAAAAGGAGGGTAGCCATCCAAAGAAGACAGTAGAGATTTTCCCCCAAATCCCACGGTTTACACTGTAATTCACCTATAGAATCTTCCAGAGGCTCTATAACCATCCATATATGCCACTGCCACTTTAAGCACTACCAGGTCTGCTGGATGAAGTGGCTCAAAGGAGCAGAATCTTTGTACAAGATCAAAACTGGCAGCTTTTCCAGTCCCTTGGTGAATAGACTGTATAGAATGCCATGACAATGGGCAATACATTCTATAAGTGTGTGGATGGCTGTTTTAGTAGATACACTGCACACTAAAGGAAAATCTGAGGGCCTCAAAATTCAGAGGCTCGCTAGAGGTTGTGCCTCTTTTTTGATTGTAGGAAAATCCAGATGCAACAACTTATCCTTTACCTTAAAAGGCATAGCTAGAAATGGCCCATACAATTGGACCCCTGTAAGTTTTGCTGAATTCAAAGACCCCTGAAGTTTTGTTAAATTTATTTTCCATCACTTCAACATGGTTACTGCTTCTTACTAATAGATTCAATCAGATTCAGTCATTCAAATGTCATCAGTGTGATCTCATGTGGAAGAGAAAGAGGATCAATATCCCTGGAAACTTGCTGCTCCTCCGCACGCGGAGGAGCCGCACCGGACCGGGCGCTTGTTGTTCCCTTTTTTTACAAGTCCTTTCTATAGTAAAGTAAGAATAAGTAAACAGCAAACTCCCAAAGCAAGAATGAGTAGAGAGAAATGAGACAGCCCAGTAACTGCATACTGGGTAGCAGGGAGTGCGTTTATTTTTGCAACAAACTCCATCTGGTACAGAAGCTGCAATCTGAATTATACCTGATCAAGCTGACCATAATTCATTGTCATTTACCCACATCCATATGTCTTCTGCACAGGTCAAATAGGCAAGGTGAATGTGTTAGTAATATTTCCCTTGCATCTTCCCAGTCTTTGATGGTGGTATTAATCTCCAGGAATATAGCACTGCTTTAGTTTTGCTATCATTGTAGGTAGAGGCAGCCTCAGTGGCTTCCATTTAGTTGTTCCCACGATAATATCCCTTACTCCACAGGACAGGAGACTAATGCGGGATGCTGCCAGTTACTGACTACAACTATTCCAATTATGCATTCTACAACTGGAGGAATAACCACTGGCCGGGTCTGGGGGAGTAACTGAGCCTCCTGTGACATACATCTGAGCTAAAACATCTATCATATGACCTATAGAAGCCTCTACCCCGAAGGGTGGACCTCAATGATGTTTTGGGTCTTCTGGAACTAGCGCCAGTGTGCAGAATTCTCTGAAATGTCCCCAAATGTACAGTTATTCTGGCCAAGGACTATAGGTCCCCATGGGGAAAACTGAGAGAAATAGTAGAAATTTTGACGGTGTTCTGAGGACCATCCTCATGGAGACCCAGACTCCCTATCATTAAGAGGTTTTAGATCAGCAAAGTGATTCAAATCTGGGAATTGACTGAGGAGGTACAGTTCCTTTTTTATGTTTCACACTAGGCTTTTGTTCACTTGACCTAGAACTTTTAAGCTTATATAGATCAAATAAGAGTTAATAGGGGCCGGCGCCGCGGCTCACTAGGCTAATCCTCCGCCTAGCGGCGCCGGCACACCGGGTTCTAGTCCCGGTCGGGGTGCCGGATTCTGTCCCGGTTGCCCCTCTTCCAGGCCAGCTCTCTGCTGTGGCCAGGGAGTGCAGTGGAGGATGGCCCAGGTGCTTGGGCCCTGCACCCCATGGGAGACCAGGAAAAGCACCTGGCTCCTGGCTCCTGCCATCGGATCAGCGCGGTGCGCCGGCCGCAGCGCGCCGGCCGCGGCGGCCATTGGAGGGTGAACCAACGGCAAAGGAAGACCTTTCTCTCTGTCTCTCTCTCTCACTGTCCACTCTGACTGTCAAAAAAAAAAAAAAAAAAAGAGTTAATAGGATTTCTTTCTATTGCGCTTCCAGGAACATCAAAATCAACTAGACACCACAACAGGTATTTGACTATTATGATCACTGCTTCGACTCTGGTCTCTATTATGACAACCACATCCACTTCACCTCACAGTTGAAGGCTGTCACTTGGCCCCTGTCACCACCCCCTGGCCCCCGCCGCCACCCCCGAGGAATCTAATTTCTCCCATTGCAAGAGGATCACAGTTCTCTACAAATGCTGAGACTCTCCCTACCAATTTATTTGATAAAATCATTGGGGTAAAAGGTGTGTCTTTCCTATTCTACCCTCAAACCCTGCCCCCTCAGTTTTTAAATGATCAATCCACTCTAACGTTCTGATCACCCTAAGCATTTCAACTTTCCTGCTTCAGTAAACTAAGACAAGTCCAGAATTTGTAGCTCACTTATTGTTGGCCACCTCTCAGATCCTATTCCAGCCAATAAAAACAAACAAACAAACAAACAAATAACCTGTTAGAGCACCTTCCAACATCCAAGCTGCAATTCTGAATACAGATTTTCTGCTTAGTGGGACCATATCAGTAAATTCAGCCCAATACAATCCAGCTTCATTCCTTCCATCATTATCTCACACATAGTAACATCTACCGATATTTCTCACACATTCCCTGGACTTCTGTCTGCTTCAATTAGAAAGCTTGAGGAGTCCTTTAGGACTGTAACACACCTCCTCACAGGTCATACCTTTTGTTTCAACTATAGGAAGCTTCTGGAACTTCTAGTTACAGGTCTTGAAACAAAAAACGGTGACAGAGATGAGCTCTAAGCAGAATCAGTACTATCTTGCTAGGCAAGTGTCTCTGGGAGGTCCTTACCGTTTCCTTAGGCAATGCAGGGTTCATCCTCTTAAATGGGGGGGAGGGGCTCTTTTTTACTGGCAAGGAAAACTTACCAGGATGTCCTCAGCTTCATCACTGTCTTCTCCTATGTCCCTACTCCAAGTTATAGGAGCCCATTCTTTTCTAACAATAGACACCTTGGGAATTCAGTTTGGACTGGAATCCAGCCACTTACACGGTAAAGCAGATTTTGGGGTTTATTTCAGCAATCTTAGTCCCAGGGGGTGTAGAAGGTAAGGGTCTCTTTCGGGACAGACATAGAAGCTTTCAGATAAATTTTTTTTTTTTTTAGCATTTGAGTTGGCAACTTGAATCCCAGGGCTCATTCTTTTCTCTTTCTAGTGTGTCGAATGACATTAGGAGATATCAATCTCTTTATACTTATTAATTTTAAAAAAATGCTCAAAAGTGTCATACACAGTCATTTAGATTCTTGTTTCTTATAAGTGTTTAATTAGGAATATCCAATTATGATATTTTGTGAAACTGCATTGCCAGATTCAGTTATCTACTTACTCCTAGAAATCCAGTTGTTAGCATTTTCAATTCTGATGAGAGAGCTAATTCCAGAAACCCTGGAGCCAGCTCATAAAATCCATGCTTAAAGTTCTTTTCCTTTTAGTGCTACTTGCAAAACCAAAATTTGTATTATCCCAGGTCATCCAGAGAAAAAGACCAATAGGATGAGTATATAAACATACACACATAAAAAGATAAGGAATAAGAAATCTAGAACTAAAATAACATGAAATTGGGAGATATGGTAGAGAAACATCTAGGCCCTTGTCCCTGCTACATATGGGGCTTTGCTACATGCAGGAGTGTCCTGCGTTTTGATAGTGTACCAGGTAGGTCCTAACTAGCTGGAGATAACCAAGGACTTGAGATGTTGGCAGTTTTTTTCTCGTGCTAATTTTAATGTTATTGGCTTATATCCAAAGGTGATTAAATGTTCCACAGATATTGGTGGATAAGGAGAGATGAGAAGGACTCATCAATGCAGAATATGACTCTCTTCAGTCAAATTTAGGAGAATCATGTTCAGGACACATTAACACATTATCTATCTCCTCTTCTGGTTTTAGGCAGATCATCTGACCACTTAATCTATGATATATAAGCATTGTTTCAAACTGTTCACAAAGGAAGAAAGAAAATAAATCTCTCAAATATCAGTAACCCCAGAGTATATTTGCTACAACCTTGGGTAGGTTGTGGAAATGCTGAATTGTTAGAAATGGTTTGTGGATCCATAATTGTGTCAAATCGGCCCTAGTCTGATTGTCAGCATCTCAGAATACTTTCATTAATTTTCCTTCCTTCGGAGGTTCATTGCAGATGTGGTCAATGTCTCCCTTTATAACAGGAAGAAGCAAGTTTTTTTTTTTAAATTTTAAATTATTTTTTTATAAACCCAGGTAGCACTTAGTCCTTACCCCCAATGCTTTGGTCTCCTTTCTTAAGGCAAATCTTCTTGGCATTTTAACTAAGATATGATATAGGATTTATAGAGGATGGATATATTCCTTTTCTGTAGGGAAATATAGAGAAAAAAGCAATACTAATTATTTTTGAGATAATGATAGCCCTGATTTCTCATTCTTTGTAATTTCTTGAAAGAAGCTTTTTGTATCAACCCACTGATTTTGGTATCTACTAAATAGCTATTGACTCTCCAGAAAAAAAACAAGAGCTACCTCTCAGATTTTACTCTTTCATCATGGATTTTCAATGAGACTGGGTACATACCTTTTGATGTAGTTACCCCACTCCTGTGATTTTAAACTTTCTTAGGGCTTACTTGCTCCCTACACCCATGGAGTCACCCATTATTGGATGCCGGTAACCATGTTTACTTTCCACAAGAATGTTCACTAATTTAGTCATAGTTGATTAGACAACTGAAAGGCATCCAGTTCTAACTGAACCAACATTTCCCTCCCCAGGAAACTGCATTTAGCACTAACTCAGTGGAGTACCATTCTGGGCTTGTCTTTTGAACAAGAATTAATAGCACTGCTGTGTGCTATCTTATGGAAAGAAGAGTGGAAGGGCATCCAGAGTAAGGAAGGGAGGGAGAGAACTCCCTAAAAATTCTGACACTTTTCAATTCCCTTATTAAATTTTTTTTAGGTTTATCTATGCAGACACAGCTACATTGTCGCTCCCCGAGTCTATGCCTAGGCTTTCAATAGCTTCTTCCGGCACCTTTTCCGTCCGGCTTTCCCCTAGGCTCTTCTAGTCTCTCTCTCCGGTATTTTCCTGCTTCTTCCCTCCCAGGTTTCCTATCCGAGTCACGGCACCATTATGTCGCTCCCCCTCTTCACGGAGGAACGACACTAAACCCTGCCTAGGCTTCATATCCGAGTCACGGCACCATTATGTCGCTCCCCCTCTTCGTGGAGGAACGACACAGGACCCTGCGCTGTTCTTTCGTCTGCTCGGCCCTCCCCGGGTTTGCTGCTGGTTCTTCCCGGGTTGGCTACCGACCCTTCCACCTCCGTGGAAGGGCGGTTCCCCCTAGCCACTTTCCCCACTTCCGCGGGGGAGCGGCACACCACCAGCCGGCTCTCTCCGGGGCTGCACAGGTGTTCCTTCAGATAGATGTTCCTTGGTGCATGTTGTCTCTCTCCTCCTTTATAGTCCTCTTCCACCAATCCCAACTCTGCTACCCACACGCCGAGCACGCTGCTCTCCTCCAATCAGGAGCAAGATCAGCTCCTGCAGCTCAGTCAATCAAATTTGCGAGAGGCAGCTTCGTAGAAGCTGTTTCCTCCTCTCCCAGCGCCACATTGTGGGAGAGCAGATGCATAGAATAAGTCTTAATTCGAGTAACTTAGTCTAGTCCGAGTTGCTCCCCACACTACATGTTTAAAATAAATTTTGCTGTTTTGTTTAGACTAGAGCCAAAGGATATATAACAAATCATCCTTTTCTTACACTCTAAAATAATGGCTCAGTCTCAAGGCTTGGGACAAAAGGCAGTATTTTGGTTCTAAAATGCATATAATTGCAGAGGCTGTGGTTAGCAGATTTCTCTGAGGATCTACTGGTACATTATCCTTCAGTGATATGGTTTTGTTCTACAAAACCGTTATCTTCAATTATTCTTTTTACTTTCACTGTTAGAGGGTTCTACATCTTCATATGTTGCCTTCTAGCATGCATTCCATGGGATGAGTGTATCTCTCTTGTTGATATTGGATTTGACTTTTCAACATGCTTGATTCATGGAATGACACATGTCAAAGCCTTATGAGGTACTGTAAGTTTCTATCATCTTTCTTTCTGATTTACCTGTGCTGTGAGAATATCACTTTCTAGGATTTTGTTGTTCTTTGGTGTGGATGCCAGAATGCAGACATGGAAAATGCTCACAGTCTACCTACAGTAAGTAAAAAATAAACTTTTGTTCTTGTCAGCCTGAAATTTTATAACCAATACCTCCAGGCAATGAAGTAGGAACATGGGGAGAAGGAATATACCATTTTGGAAACACAATGAAGGTGAAACTTTTGGAGGACAGAAGAATAACACTTAGAGAATGGGATACTTTTACTTCCTTGTCCTCATCCTCAGCAATTGTGGGATCTTGCCCTTGTGTTGGCTATTCAGGTAGAGAGACTTGAACAGAAATCATATGGAGGGAGTGATCTTCACAATGACAGAAGGCCAGGACTAAACTATTCCTCCAAGTTGTAGTTGTAGGCAAAATGTTTTAGGAGAAAGATCCTACTGACAGTACCTGGATGGGAAATTAGATAAGGGACTACAATTTTGTAGAGAATATTGCCAGTGCCATAGGAAGGTGGCAAGACTGAAAAAGAGGGACTTCCTTTTGAAGAACATAGCTGAACTCCACCAATTTGGATGTGGTCGGTAAAGCAGAGAGCTTTGGTAGTGAATAGTCTCAAACCAGACAAAACAATGTGAACTCAGATATTTTCTAGTCTGACTCATCACATGAGACTAATATTACCAAAGATTCTTAAGGGAGTCCTACATCCAGAAACTAAAGAAAGACAATGACCATAGAGGAAACACATAGAAGTATAACACCTGTTAGAAGATCAGAATCACAAAGCAAAAATAGATGAGGATCAGTCTTATCAACAAAATACGTGAGAAGGGCACAAAGGCAAACTACAGTGAAGTAGGAAGACAAGGCCAAAGGACATTCAAAACAAACAGAAGAAAATTAAAGAGCTAGCGAGACAAAGTCTAAACTTATCAATGGTGACTTTGAGAATTTTCTTCAACTTAAAGATACCTATGGACTGAACGGATCAAAAAGGATCCAATGATATGCTGCCTACAAGAAATGCACTTCACCAGTAAAGACATGCAGACTGAAACTGAAAAAAGATATTCTACCCAAATGGAAAATAAGAGTGAGTGAGAGTACCTATACTCCTGAGACAAAAGACTTTAAGACAAAAACTGTAAAAAATGACTAAAAATTACTATATAACGAACAAGGGATCAATTAAACATAAACAAATTTATATGTTTATAATTATTCATTGTAATTGTATAAATGCTAGATCACCCAATTCTATATGGTGGGGAATTTCAACACCCCACTTTCATAAACAGACAAAAATATCAATTAGAACTAAACTGTACTATGCATCAAATAGACTTAACAGATATTTGCATTCACCCAACAGCTGCAGAATACACATTATTTTCATTAGCACATGCAAGATTCCCTATGTTAGACTATGTTAGGATGTAAAACAAATCTCAAAAACATTAAAAAAGCATGTAATATATGTTTTATTATCACATTGGACTAAAATTAAAAATCAACAATAAAAGAAACTTTAAGAATTACAAAAATACATGGAAATAGAACAATATACTGTTAAACAAACAATGGGTTGTTGAATAAATAAAAAGGAAAATTTTAAAAATTTCTTGAAACAAATAAAAATGGAAACACAGCCTACCCAAACTTATGGTTTACGGTATAAGTTACACTAAGAGGGGAGAAATAGAAAGACCTTTAAAAAATAACCTAACAATACATTTTAAGGATGCAACAAGGCAGGAGAAGTCAAACACAAAACTAGAAGAAGGAAAGAAATAACAAAGATCAGAGAAGAAATAAGTGAAATATAGACTATGAAAACAATACCAAAGATGAGTGAAACAAATAACTCATTATTGAAAAATCAACAAAATATACAAATATACAAAATTGACAAAACTTTAGTTAGACAAAAAGAAAAAGAGGTGATACTTAAATAAGTAAAATAAGCAATGAAAAAGGAGAGTTGACAATTGATACCATGGAAAAACAAAGAGTCATTAGGGACTACTATGAATTGCTAAATGTGAACAAATTGAAAACCTAGAAGAAATACGTACATTCCTGGACACACAAAAGCTACAGAAATTAAGCTAGGAAGACATAGAAAATGTAAATAGACCAATAATGAATATTGAGATTGAATTATTAATAAAAATCTTCCAATAAAAAAGCCCAGCTGGATAACTTCACAGCTGAATTCCACAAACTTTTAAGGAAGAACTGAGACCAATTATTCCTCAAACTCTTCCAAAAATTTGAAAGGAAGGAAACTTCCAAGCTAATTTTTTGATAGAAAAACCAGAGAAGGATGTAACAAAAAAGGAAACTATAAACCAAAGTCCCTTATGAACACAGATGCAAAAATTCTCAACATAATATCAGCAAGTGGAATCTAACTGCATGTCAAAAAGATGATTCATAATGATTGAGTGTTATTACCCAAGAGTGTAACCAATGGTTCAGCATACACAAATCAATAAACATAATGAGTCAATCTGAAAGAATAAAGTATAATGATCATATGATCATCTCAGTAGACACAGAAAGGCATTCAATAAATTTCAATATCTTTGATGATAAAAACCCTGATTCAATTTGAAATAGAGGGATTGTACTTCCACTTGATAAAGGTGACATATGGAAAACCCATAGGTGACAGTATACTTAATGGGGAAAAGCTGAATGCATTTCCTCTAAGACCTAGAAGAAGACAAGTATATCTACTGTTATCACTCTTAGTAAAGTTTTCTTTTAAAGATTTTATTTATTTATTTGACAGGTAGAGTTACAGAAAGTGAGAGGGAGGGCCTTCCCTCCGTTGGTTCACTCCTCAAATGGCCGCCAGAGCCAGAGCTGCGCTGATCCGAAGCCGGGAGCCTCTTCCAGGTCTCCCATGTGGGTGCAGGGGCCCAAGGACCCGGGCCATCTTCCACTGCTTTCCCAGGAAACAGCAGAGAGCTGGACGGGAAGAGGAGCAGCCGGGACCAGAACCGGCATCCACATGGGACTCTGGCGCTGCAGGTGGAGGATTAACCCACTGCACCATGGCGCTGGCCCCATCTGATTCAATAAAGTTCTGGAACTTTTAGCCAGAGTAGTTAGTCAATAGAAAGAAATAAAAGCCATACAAATAGGAAGAGAAATAGTCCATTTATCCCTGTTTGCAGGTGATATGATTCTCTCTGTAGTAAAATCTAAGTACTTCACCAAAAGAC